TCCCCGGCTATAACTACGGGGAAGTGCTGCTTCACATCTTCGCTCAATTTGTCCAGGAAGTCGACGAACTCATCAGTGGAAAGGCTTGGTGGGGCGTAACAGCTGTAGACATAGATGCCATCAACCTTTGCCCTCACAAACCCATTCTCGTGGTTACTGGTTGTGCTCTCGAAAGGTCGACTACCGCAAGCCCAGATGACAGCCTTCTGGCTGATGTCAGTAACCCAGGATTGGGTGCCAAGTTGTATGTATGGCTCTGAGATGCAAACAATATCGATCTTTTGCTCCCGCACTGTCTGTGTAAGCAGATCGTGTGCAGCCTCACAATGGTTGAGGTTGAGCTGAAGCACTTTCAAGTTCCTCGTTTTATTGTCGCCTTTTATTGTTGAGCTTCTGGAGTGCTTCCTTAAGCACTGGGCATTTACCGCTACCAGCGACGTGAGCACTATCAACCGCATTGCCTCTTTCTGTGCATAAGGCACATAGGGGCTCCTTCTTGCATTCGGCAATTTTATGGCCAGGCTCAGTGCACCTGGTACACAACTTTGATCGATCAGCTTCGCTCTTGCATTGAGTGGCAAGATGACCGTAGTGCCAGCACCTGAAGCACTTGACCGGCCGCTCCACTCTGATCATACGGCAAATCACCCAACCTATTTTGATTTTGCCGTGCTCTCCCACGATCTTCTTCGCCGCGGTTGCTGCAAGCGTCACTGATGCAGTTTGAGTTCCTCTGAAAGCCTTGCGTATAGACTTGACTGCTCCTGAGTCGATTGTATACTCGTCTCCAGCTGCCACCTGTAGTGCTTCAAGTACTTCCTCCTTGGTTGTAATTTCGTCGAGGTCTTTGATCTCGAACTCCTCCTGTGGTGCCTTACTGAGCACTTTTGCATCTTCTCCGAGGAGGCCGGCAATGGCTTTATGTAGCTGGGGTGCTCCATCTGCTTTCTTCCTCTTCAATATGAGAAGCATATCTCCGGTGGTGGTGCGCCGAATGTTATGGACGCAGTCGGCCTGCTCTTGAGGAACTTCCTTTTTCACCCGACGCAGGATGTCACAGTATTTGTCCTTGTCCTTAGGACGCACAATCAGCGCATCTGGTCTTGGTGCTGGTTTCCTGACGGTCTTGCTCTGTGGTTTTTTCTTCTTCTTCTTC